TGTAAAACCCCATCTACTCTCTCTGACCTCTTTGTATGTATGTATGTATTTAGGATATTTAGACAGGGCAGCCCAGTTCAGCCTGAAACTGGTTTAAGTGGGGGCCTGTACATCCCACCCCAGGGGAGGACATCCATCACACAGTAATCTCGTGTGTGGGAAATTAACATCTCCTACCCCAGCCCTGCAGGAGACGGGACCTCCATTTATTCGTCCCTATCCGAGAAGACTAGAATATCTAACCATTTCTTGATGTTATAGAAAGGTAGAAAATTCTTCTCAATTATTTTAAGACCATGAGTGTTGGTCCAGCCGGGGCTCGAACCCTCGACCTCCCGCACAACAGTCCAGTGCACTATCCATTGGGCTAACTGGGCGGCGGTTATTGTATTGGACATTTGATATTCAGCCCAACCATTGCTTCACTGCAGAGCTAAGAATGATTTTTTTTCTCTTGTCCATAGGATTTTGGAGCTGGTGACAGAGTAAATAAATCAGTTCAGGCAAGTAAGAGTCAATCTGTAAGAAACAGAGATAAAAAAGAAACTCTTGATGCTCATATGTGGGATGAAGACGATGTGGATTCAGTAAAGGTAATTTAGTCAAATGTTAACTGATAAGTTTACATAAACATGTTTGTGTTTATATCAAAGAAATGCAGTGGAATTTAATTTTATTTGGGAAAAATGTTATTACTTTAGAAGTATTGTTGCATTTTTAACTGATCAAGATATTGAAACCACTTGATTTATTTTGTAGGATTTTACAGGAAATGATCGCCAGAAAGAAGCAAAGTACATGGAGCGGACAGATGAGGCAATTTATCAGCGAGCTGCCGAAGAACACATTAGGAGACCACCTCTTTGGCATGATGATGAGGTGGATTCTGTCAGGGTAGGTTCTTGTATGATGTATCAATATAGTCCTTCTAATGCATGGGGTAAATTTAAAAATCCATGGTGGCAGATATGCAACAGTAACTGTTGCTCTTCTGTATTCATTGTTATCATTGCTGTTTGTAATGTGGTTTTTTCTCAGTCTCCTTCGTTTTCAGTTCCGCAATCATGGTGAAGCTCCTGTGAGGAAAATTAAAAACTCCATCATCAATTTAGAGAGTACATTCATTTTAACATGTCTTTTCAGAACTTGATGTCTATTTTATCAGCATTATTACCAACACATTACTTGTAAGCCCAGAAGAACATTCTTCTAATTTTGAAATATTATGCTTCAGGATTTCAGCCGGGTGTCTGGAAAACAAGAACCCCCATCAGGTTTAGCTAGTCAACAACTAAGTAGGCTTCCTTCAGATGAGCACATATGTCTCTCTCCCCCCTGGAATGAAGAAGATGATGGGCCTGTCAGGGTGGGTACATTGAATTTACAATACAATCCCAACACTTGTCTACATGGGACTTGTACAATTTGGATGGTCCTATACATGTATGTGCATGTTTGAGTAGCTGTGCATCACTAATGAGTTTTGAAGTTTGAAACATTGATTGATTAAGGGTTAATAGAGCCAAAACATGCTTAGTTTGTCTGGAAAAAAACTTAACCTTAAGGCTAACTTCTCACTTGTGTAATTCTAAACTTCCAATTTATACTCCTAATCGTGTTTCATCTTTGTTCCAAAATTAATATTGTTAGTGGTGACCTGCGTTTGGTTCAAGTAGTTTAGGAAAACCATTGATTTGTGATTAACTTTGTACATAAGTGTTTTGTGTAATAAGTTGAACATAACATGGAGTCTAAATCTTTGTGTTCTGTAGCCATTTGTAACTGAAGAACCAGTTGCAAAGAACTTTAGCATCAATAACATGGTGATGGAGGAACGTATGAGACAAGGACAGCCTCCCCCCTGGCATGAGGAAGATGAGAGAGATTCTACCAAGGTAGTCACTTCACTCCATGAGCAAATTTATTTAGATTGTTGATTGAATGATCAACTCTTTTATTGCTTGTAGAGTTAGACATGTGTCAATTATCAAGAACATTTTTCTTTTTTGCCTGGTGTCATTTCCTAGTTTTGTTCTTTAGTTATTTTGGGTGTGTTTTTTTCTTTAATTTAGTATGCTACACAGAACAAATTTTTTTGTTATCACTTTGATATTTATGCACATGCCTTCTAACTGTTTCATTCTCTGGTTTGTTGATTGTGACTTAATTGACGTATGCTAATAAGTTGCTTGCGTGCAGAGAGAGCTAGCAGCCCCTATGAATTTAACTTGACGTAAGGAAACCTTGTTTGTGGTTAATTTTTTTTTTCTTTTTATCTGTTGTAGGACTTTGCTGCCCAGTATCGTAAAACAAGATCCATGGAAAATTCGCGCCGTCCTTCCGAAGAAAACATTTATCTGACTCCACCCTGGATGGAGGATGATCGTCAGTCTTGTGGGGCGAGTGCTGTTAAATTTTTCACTTAGTAATGAGTCGGTCTTTGATCGACATCTCATATGAAATTGCTCTTTAAGTGCTAGCCTCTCACACCTGTTGCCATGATCTCTGATTTGCAAACTTAACAGTTCAGTTCATCCTTTTGAACCCATTTTATGATTCATCAAGGCACTTTAATTGTATAAGATTTGCAATAGTGTCGGTAGTATTTTATAACTGGTTCTGCTTTTTGCTGTCGTGAAGTTGCGGGTTAAGCGCCTTGTTCTTTGCTATTGTTTTGCGTGCGAGGATAAAATCGTTTCTACGAAACTGTGGATTGAGATCTTCGGAAAGTTCTTCGAGCGTTTCGAGCCTCGAACCTCCATTCTTAATCCTCGAAGGTTTCGAGGATCGAGGCCGTCAACTTGCTTTTGAGTGGTACTATAAGTTATTTCAAGTTGGTTCAACGTTAACTTTTTTGTTTTTAAAAAGCATTACGAGTGAAGTGAAGTATTAAACCAACAATTAGTGTGGGCCAAAATATGTGAACGCATTTTCCCCTCAACCACCTGGAAGGAGCTACTGCCCAACGTAGTGAAAGACGGTATATACAATGTTCCAGCGTATTTATGTAATGCTGTGAATAAAAATCACACAGGGTCGGACTGGATCAGATCATTCTTCAAACCGATCGTACAGAATGACCCTGGAAGAACAGCGAGCTATCGAAGAGGAGGTCAGAAGTACAGGCATCGCAGAGGCTAGCGATAAAGTGCAAGTTCTCCGCCAAGAAAAAGCCGCCGAGAAAACTGTTGAAGGAGTCGGACCACCTGTTCCAGGAGACAGTGGATTTTGTAGCGAGCAGGACCAGCATGCGCAGCAAGGACAAGGTACGCAGACGCTTTACTTTTTTTCCTCTTTGTTACCTGGAAGAAAAGAGACCAATCTCTTTGTCTTTTCCTGAGGGCAACCACTTTGAAATTATTTTATCTTTTAAATCAGTGGTGTCGGTGCTTTGCAATGTCAAGCAGGTGGGTGGTGAAAATAAAAAAATGGATATATCAAATCGGAGAAATTTTTATATTTGGTCGCGTTATCAGATTTTTAAGCCACTTAATCAGCTTTGTTAACATTTATCCGCTGGATAGTGATTTATCCGCCCTTTGAGCAACTGGGCCCTAAACAACTAAATTTAACCATTAAACAAATGCAAGTCCTCTGATATCGAGTGAATAGGAGAACCATCGTCGGAATAAAAGAATCAAATGTCCACTGTAAAAGCTTGTTTGGATGCATCAGTTATGCACTGTAAAAAATTGCCAGTGTTGTTTTGCTGCACTTGTCTGACTTGTTCCTCCACAGGACTCCCAGCTGAGGGTATGACTAGTGAAGCTATGTTACAAGAAGATCCACTTATTACCAAAGACGTCGTCATCGTGGAGCCCCCATCGGAAAAACAAACTGCTACTCAAAACCAGGCCTCTAGTAAAGTTATGGCGGATACTTTTAAGCCTGTTGCTTTGAATCCAGCTGACGACAGCCGGCCAGTCAATCAACCGTTACCTAGCAACAGGGACAGGCCGAGCAGATGCGCTGGTCCACGAGAAATGAGAAGTGATCAAAATGAGAGAAATCATAGCGGCGTCGAAGGAGGAAACCATAATCGGGGACTCGCCAGAAGCATTAGTCAGTCGAGTCTGGAAGCCATGTGTTATTCACCGCATGACGCTTTGGACGGTATGGAGACGTCCAGCCTGGTCAGTTTCGCCAGCACCGCAGCCACTCATCACGACCTTGACACACGAATCGACATGGTACAGTCGCTGTTGTCTATGCTAGGAACACATGACAAAGATGACATGTCACGGACTCTGTTGGCGATGTCAAACAGCAAGGACAGTTGCGCAGCCATGAGGCAATCAGGTTGTTTGCCCCTTCTTATTGATTTGCTCCACGGCAAAGACTTAACGGACAAAAATGCTCGCCGTGAGGCCCGCGCGCGTGCTGGACTCGCTTTGCATAATATTGTCTATTCCAACGTGGAAGATAGGCGTGGTCGTCGCGAGATACGAGTTCTAAGACTGCTGGAAATCGCACGTGCGCACTGTGATGTTGTGCAGTTTAAAGGCTTTGCAGTACACCCCTGTGCGGAACTGTGGTATCCACCTTTGAGGGAGTATGGGCCAGGTCCGGCTATTGCTGCACTTATGAAACTTTCGTTCGAAGAAGATCACCGCACGGCCATTTGCGAACTCGGTGGCCTTCAAGCTATCGCGGAACTTGTGCAAATTGATCACCAAGTGAATGGACAATGCAAAGACTTCTACAGCATTAGTCTTCGTAAATATGCGGGAATGACTATTACCAATCTTACTTTTGGAAATACGAAGAATAAGAGCTTGTTGTGCGGGATCCCAGGTGCTGTAGACGCCATTATCGCTCAGTTGAACACCGTTGAAGAAGAAGAGATCATCCAAGTTTCTGCGAGTGTACTTAGAAACCTGTCTTGGAGGGCCGACGAATTTTGCCGCAAAACTTTACGCGAAGCGGGTGCAGTGAAAGCGTTGTTAGCTGCGGCCCAATCATTGCAGGGCGAGCCCGCCCTGAGAACGACCCTTAGTGCCTTGTGGAACCTGTCAGCTCATTGCTCGGATAACAAGACAGAGATTTGTGCGACACCAGGCGCCCTGAAGTTCTTCGTCAAATGCCTCAACTACTCCAGTCCATCCGGTAGTATTACTGTGGTAGAGAGCAGCGGAGGAATTTTGAGAAATCTCTCGTCCCACATTGCCGTGCGTCCCGACTATCGTAAGACCCTCAGGGATTGCGGCTGCTTTCAGATTATGCTCACTCAACTACGTTCGCCAAGCCTAAGAGTCGTCAGCAATGTGTGTGGTGCCTTGTGGAACCTGTCGGCTCGATGCGTCGAGGATCAAGAGCTACTCTGGGAGCTCGGTGCTGTGTCTCTGTTCAAGTCGCTTATCAACTCGAAGCACAAAGCCATCGCCCAGGCAGCAGCAGCAGCTCTACGAAACTTGATGGCTGTGAAGCCAGGGAGTTCTACGGATAACGAGTCAACATCCTCCCGTGTAGCCAGACACTACCGTAGTATGCCTGCGAATATGCGATCAGCAGAGGCACAAGCTAGGATTAAAAAGGATCCAGCGAGAGCATTCAACAGTTCATCTAGAACCCAGTCTCCGATACCCCATGGCCAGGCTACCCAGCATCCGCTTTCCACGCGCCAAGCTTCAAAGCAAGATTACGAAGCTTCCTCTCACCCTGCCAGTAATGTCCAGCCAGGCCTGGTTTCTAAGCAATCACACCCTCATTGCCTTGTCTCTAAACAGACAGAAGACTTGAGATCGCAGCCGTTATACTCAGCGGGTCAAGCTGGTATCGTCCCAGTCACAAGGCAAGATGTTGACTCCACGTCACGTGCACAGCAATCTGGGAAAAAGAAAGTTGGATCTTCTACCTCTCTCACTCACTCGAGCTCAAGCTCCAATCATGGCGTTGTCCAGGAAACCGAACCCAGTCCTTCCCTCTTGCGGAGCAGATCAGATGTTGGTCCCAGGGCTCTGGCCGGTAGACAGCGGAGAGCGAAGGCACGAGGCGCTGACGCGAACAGTATGGACAGCGGAGCCTCTCTGGAGGGAAGACATGCAGCAAATTTCAAATGGAACCACAGCAATGATTCACTAGCAAAGTATCGTCGCCAACCTCGCAGAGATGCTTCCTTGAAGCAGAATTACGAACGGCTTGACGTTGATCCCCGACATAGTGGACAAGCTACCGAAAAACGCCAACACTGTCGTTCTTCGAGCGACGGTTGTGCGGTAATTCCGCTGTTGTCTGACTCGTACCCATTACAGGTATCACACAAACCCAAAAGAGACACAGGAAGAGACAAGAGTTCTGGAGGGACGTCTGTGATATCCAAGATCAGAAGTGTTGTACGGAAAAACGTGGAGGGAGGAGGTGGACACTATCAATGGCCAGCACCTCAGCAGGGAGAGACTACCTCCATGATTTCCCCATCTACGGCTCGAAGACTCAACCAGTGGACTGACACATGTCTTGGAGAGAATTACGAGATGACAGAGTTTGGACTGCAGGAGGAGAATCCCGCCAAAATACGTCAGGTGGTGGAGCAGCCCGGTGCTTCGAATCAATTCCTCACAAACGTTGCACATTCTAATCAGAAGCACTCAACACAGAAATTCAAATCGTACCGTGACTCAGAAAGTGACGCTGATACAGAGATTGCTTCCGAAGATGAGCGACACCTGTTTGGTCACCCTCGGAAAGTTTCGAGTTATCCTGAGGTGGAAAATGCTTGGATTCAAAAACCAACATTCGAGGCTCATCCTTCTCGTTCAGCGGATACGGAGAGTGTTGCTTCGTCAACTTGCAGCTGTGATCAAGTGGAGAATGTCTGGATTCGTCGTCCAGACCCCAAAAGCTCTAAAAAATGTAATTGCGGGAAGTGTAGTCGCAATCGAGCCGTGAAGAATGCGGAAAAAAACATTCCCAAGAAACCGATGGTGAAAAGTAGACGAGATTCGACCGAGTCTCCAATATCCAGCCCCAGCTTGCATCGTGTGTTCAAGAGCACGTCAGGACGCGAACAGAAAAAGAATTTGGATCCAAGCAAAAGAGGAGTTAAAGTTACGTCGCTGTGAGAAAAATACTCAATCTCACGGCACGCAGGGGATATAAAGGAAAAATCAAGGAAAAATTCCTTTTAAAGTGATTTAATATGCAGTTCATCATAATGGCAGACTGTAGCTCAGATACCAAATGTCTCTTGAGTGGTTTACGTTATGAAATGTTTTTATTAGCAACCTGTCGCAACATTTTCCATGGTGAGATCTCCCAAAGTTAAACTTTCTTCGTCAAGAATGTCCTTATATTGGTTGTCGATATCTGTTCAACAAGGAGGGGGGTGGGGTGGGAGGATTTCAAAAGATCAAGTTGTGTTAAGAACAAAACCAGTGTAGATATATCTAGTAATTAACGGTAGTATTGTATTGTATACTCTCAAATGATAATATAAGGTCAAGGTTATGTGTACAGAGCACTATGTTCATCGTGACAGTGATTATAATCTCATAAAATTGCCTTAAAGCTGAAATTGGTTTGAAGTTTTGTTCAAGGTACTGTTGGATATAAAGGTTATCGTTAGCCACTACTTTCGTTTGGAAGAGCTAGCAACGTTATCTTACCACGTTTGCATCCTTCAGGTACTAAGTACAACATATTAGAAATCAACGCGGACGTTAAAATGCGGCGAAAAGGTAGAACAGACAGTGAATAGTGGACTTGTCAGGACTGAAGTTTTTTGCTTATTGACCCTTCTCCCCCACTGTAGCTCCTCCAGGCTTCCTTATATAGCACCTTCACCTTGTTGTAAAAGAAAAGTGGATCAAAAGTCATTGTCTTCGGGATCTTCTTAAGGTGTAACAATAGCTTTTAACTTCGTATGCCGTATTTGAAGATTAACATCAGCAAAGTGTTATTTTTGTATTGTTGGAGTTCAACGACCAAAGAGTCGTGAATAATAAAAATTCAATTTATTCATTTTTTAATTTACAGTTTCATTAACTTCATGGAAGTGATCGAATTTCGAGTTGTGGGTGAAATTTTTTCGAAATTTGCTCGTTGTCTCTTGTCATAAGATGCGATAAAAGTGGGAAATTTCGTTAGAGTGCAGAAAGAATAAGACGCGATCACAACTGCATTCTAATCAAACCAACAAAAATTTTACAAGGAGCCAACAAGAGCCCAAGGTTGTTACATGATAGGGGGAAGGCGATCAGTTCTAAATTTGCAACTGAGCAGTTAAAAGACCGGTGCGATTACTTCGCGCAAATCTCAGAGAGTATTAAATAAAACTCATCGCGAATTCAGATGACTTTGGTCAATTGACGACTGCCTTTACCTGAAAAAGCCGACCGAAGTGGTGCTCACCGAACCTGAAAGTTTTTCCCTTCCGTATTTCCCAAAGTATTTTCCTTCAAGAAGTTCTCGAAACTGTGAGTGCGAAGATCCTTAAAATAACCACATGTCGTATTTCTTTCATACAAAATGATTTCATGTCTAAAGTTTCTTTTCAAGAGCGTTTGCAGAATGGCCACAGTTTGAAGTATAACGAAATAATGTAGAAGTAAGCAACCTGCGTATCTTGTGAATATAGAAGGAATTTTATTACCAATCCAAATTGTAGCGGGGCCGGGTCGTTCAAAACACGGTTAGCCTAGCCCGGGGTTAGTGTAAATTTTTAATTGAATTTTAAAGCTTTGGAAAGGGATTTTATTTTGTAATTTTTACTGTTAATTTCAACTTATACTGAGATCTTGGCTTGTTATACGCGTTCCTCTACATGAGACAGCAAAGCCAAAGTTGACTTCTAAACCTAGATTAACGTTAACCACCTTTCGAACAACCCGGCCCAGGTCTATGAAATCACAGTGGAAACTGTCACTTTCCTCTGATGTACATTTAAAGCCAAGATTTCTGCGTTTGTCCGACAAAACTTTTTTAATTACCAAGGTGCATCGAGATTAGGGAAATGGGGAAAGCAGCTAAATTATTATTTCTCTTTTGGCAATTCGGAAAGAAAAGTAGCCAAACATCCTATAGCATCTTCGGAAAGTCCTCATAAACAGCCAAAAAATGTGCGAAGTCTTTCGGCCATTCAAGCTCTCGAAAAAAAATTACGTCCGTTTTCCGCGTTGCTAAGCAACAAAACGACGGCATGTAATGTATTTGTTTTTAGTCTCTTGGGAGAAAATTATTCTGATGTCATAGGGTGGAACACTTAGGTTTTAAACGTTCTGACTCTACTCGCTCTATCTGCGACTTTTAAATACAAATTACTACCTACTGCCCGCATGGCTTCCCCTGATTCATTACAATAAGGAAATTTCAACTACAAAACATCGTAGGATTATTAACAGAAATTTGCGAATTGTGGTGAATTTTTCCTGCCCATTAATCTTGAGCAGAAAAAACTTCTTAGACATCTTTCATATATTGAAATCTATATTGTCTTTTCTCTTAATATCAATAATGATTCAAATATTTGTTTGATCCGCGATGATAGCCAATGCTCTATCGTTCGGAAAAAGTCTACGCACAAGCATGACTACGAACTGTGGTCCTTCCATGAGAGAATTCAGAGGATTAGCAATAAACGAATAAGCTTCCATGATGTGTTCTGCTAGGCTCGCGTACTGTTTGTTAACTCGTAGTGTTTCCAAGTTATTCAGAGCTTGCTCGGCTTCGGCAGTGGAAGAAATGACACGTCCGCCTGGGGCTAACTGCTTTGTCTACAATGAAAGGAAAAAAAAGCAAAATGAGTCGCATTATGGAAGAAGTTCTACTACGTTACACATCAAATTCCAAGATAATTATTTGTGAAACCACAAAGACTACGTTTTTAACGAGTCGAAAGTAATTCAATTTCATAATTGCATTGATTTTATCATTTCGCCTCGTACTGGTGTAGAAACTCGCGTCATCCAATCAGATGTGAAAATAAAGCCAGTAGCGTCCAGGGTCCTATCGTGTTACCGCGCTGGAAATCGGATACCTGTGTTTCCCAAAGATATCCTAACCACCACTGTGGTGACTCTGGTTTTCGTTCTACGATTTCGAACAGAAAAGTATTGCGAGAGCGTTAAGGAAAAAAATTTCATTTTGACTTTGAAACAGTGAAATTGGACTGAGGATTCTAATCGTACCCTTTTTGGTTCTCGTACATATCCTGGGGCTTTGGCCTCTAGTCTTAAAAGAGAGTTTGAAGGCATCTGTGCCAGCAGGAACGCTTCCAAGGCGCGGCACATGAACCGAAATCTGCAAAGAAATGAGAAATTTAAAATAAAGGCACAACGAAGTAGTTTTTGAGCTGAGTTGGTTTTAACATAGTGTTTACCTTAAACACGAGTGAGCGTATTCTCCATATCGTTCTCTATACATATCCTAAGGTGCTGACAAGGAGAATATGTTTAACAATCAAGAACTCCTTTACTTGGGAATCATGGTCTTTATTCTCGTGACCTTAAAGTTTGATTCAGGGACGATATTGTAAGGACAAATTAGAATATTCACGAGTTTCTCTTAGAAACCTACATCAACTGTCTCCCATCACAATTCTGTCAACCGGAAGGCCACAGTTAGTCGCTCTTGAAAAATTTGACTAACATTTTTAAAAAATGTTGTTTATCTTCTCCATCCTTCATCACCCGCGATTTTTTTTTTCTCCTGTTCTTGTCGGAGAAAATTCTCTATGAAACTGAAATGTCAAGTGACACTTGAAAATAAGTTCCTTCAAGGAAGTTGCAGCAGGAGCTGCTCGTAGAGAGCACTGACTGTGTCAGAACAGCTCAGAGAAAAGACATAACAATACTCACTGAACACTAAGCTGCGACTTCTTTCCAAATCCAATGGCTCCTAACAGACCAGCCGAGGACTTATCTTCTCCTAACGAATGCAGGTAGGAAGCAAGGAATGATAGCTGTTTGGTCAAATCTTGTAAAGGTCCACTTGCATAATAAACCTGTCTTACAGACAGCTCGAGAATCTTGTGCCACAGTAACGTAACCTTGGTTTCAAATTCGCGCCTAGGATAAACGAGATTAAGAAACTCAAACTAAGGCAAGTCCAGACACAAACCTTTACCCCACGATCTAATTCGTATTTCTCCCTAACAAATGAATAAAGGCTGATAGTTTCTAACGAAACTGTTTGGGGCTGTGTCGGTGGGGGGTAACTTCTTACAAATGAATAAACGCTGATAGTTTCTAAAGAAATTGTTTGGGGCTGCGTCGGTGGGGGTAACTTCTTGTATTTACTTTTTACCTAAAATTCACAAACCTAACAACCCAGTTGCAGTTGCCCTACCGAACTTATCTCCAGCTATCTAGACAAAATTATGGCTCCCATCGTCAAAACTTTACCATCATATATTAAAGACAGCCAACACGCTCTTCAAATTTTTCGCGACTTTAATTTCCTTGGCCAAAACAAACTTCATTTCACTATGGATATTACGTCTCTTTACACTGTCATTCCTTATGGCGAAGGCCTTCTGGCCCTTAAACATTTTTTTGATCAACGTACTGTTAAGGAACCTAAATCTGAAACACTACTACGCTTAGCCAAACTAGTGCTCACACTCAATTGTTTTTCATTTGGGGACAACTTCTTCAAACAAACCAATGGTGTAGCCATGGGCACCCAAATGGGACCTAGCTATGCCAATCTTTTTTAAGGTTTTGTCGAACACCAACTTTTCAGGTAATACAACGGCTCCAAACCTGAACTCTACGGTCGCTACATCGACGACTGTATCGGCGCTACCTCCTCTACCGGAGAGGAGCTCACTCAATTCATAAC